CCCTCTTTACACTTCCTCTCATTTCAACTGCACCATCTTGATATCTGGCGGTCCCTGGCTCTACCCTCCATCAAAACCACTGGACTTTCTAGGCTCTCCGTGTCTGCAGCTAGGGACGAGCTTCTCCTGAGGATGCAGACCCAGATCCAAAGACAACACCACACAGGGACCTGGAGTCCCAGAGACAGGGATCTGCAGCCACATCTTCTCAGAACATTGACTGCTTCTGAAGCAAAGTACCTGAAACGTGTTTATATTTAAACTGTCACTGACCTGCCCCAGAGCAGGCTGTAAAACATTTTCACAGAAGCTGGAACCTTAGAAAAAGAAGGGGAACTGGTAGGAAAGGCACTGACCTCTGCTCCAGATCCCAAGACGAGTAGCTTCTCTCTTCCCTCACCTGCTATTTGGGGGCAGCTCAGTAGGAAAGAGAAGGAAACTGCTGAGTGAAATCCTGGGACAGTATAGGCCAAGGACAGCACCCCAAAGCAGGTTCTGTGGCTACAGGGCTCTAACCAGCTCACTGTAGCCATAGCTCTCACTGGAGAGATCCCCCAACTGGGGAAGCCCTTCAGAGCACTAGCTAAGTGAGAACCTGGGCCTCCCAAGTCCTAGAACCTATAGGTCCTATAGTTCTGAGAGGCCAAAAGATCCCAGACATCTGAATCAGTAAAATTTTAACATCTTTAGACCAAAGTTGTCAACTTATTTTGCCTGTGAGCAAGGATCAAAAAAAAACTACAATCTATTATCACCACCATTTCAAAACAAGTGTTTTGACATCAAAACCAAAAAACAAACATAAAAGACCTAATTTCAGAATAAGTAACAGTCCTTCCCAAAACAGGGGGCAGTGAGTAACTTAGCTCGCTAACCAATGTAAGTCATTCAATTATCAGCAATGAACGCATACAAACACACCCGTGTTTGTTCTACCAAATATTGCATGGGCCTCAGTGGGGCTATCAGAACAGGGCACTCTGGTCACCTGACACAGGACCCTATCACAGAGCAGTTCCGGCAGCCCATGCCATCAACAGGACAGAAGGAACACTGGCAGAGAAGCCAGGGACCGCTTGATGCTGCTGGTGTAGAGTGGCAGGGCCCAGCTAGGTTGTAGACACCACACCCAATTCCTTGTGTGGACTCAGTGATCCCTGCCCTAACTGGGACTGACCCCACAACTCTCTGGAACCTGAACTTGACCCTTTTACAACTGGGACTGCAGCGAGCACTGCCAAGAACTTAGAATAAAATTAAGTCAGTCTATTTTCAGGGTACTGTAGAAATCACCCATGACAGACTGAAGCCAAGCTCTGCAAATGGCCCCATAGTCTGAAACCATCACATAGCCAATCCTCCACTCTCTGCTGGGGTTTTCCCAACAGGCTGGCCACAACCTGTGTTTACAACACAGCCTTCCCCTGTGATATACCTTCAAGGGAGCCAGCAACTGTCTGGACAATTCCAGTGGCCATGCTCCCAGACAGTTTGGATGTTTCCCTCAATTTAATGAATAAACTGGCTTTCCAATCCTACCATTACTGTCTATGAGCTCATTAGTGTGGGTGCAATGCTGAGTACCAGGTGCACCCTGGAAGTGCTGGTAAATCATTTAAGACAGGACAATTCAGGGCTAGGCTGAGAGAACACTGACCTGCCTCATCTATAAGGAGCTTGAACTAGTCCCACCTAAGAGCAGGTGTCATTACCCAGAGGCCCCTATCCCAACATATGTCACCCTTGAACTATCTGGAAGTTGAACAGGTTCCACCTAAGGGCAGGCGTCCTTACCTAGAGGCCCTTATCCCAACACACAGCACTCACCTGCATGCTCTGCTGGTACTGCATCTGCAGAGAACCTGGGGCAGAGGCGGGAACATCCAATCCAGAGCCTCCCTCCACTCGCTGAGAAATGAAGCTGTTCAAAGATCTCAGTGTGGACAGGACGGTGGTGTTTTCCCCCAGGTCCTCCATGGCCACTTTCCTTCTGGAGGAAGACAAGGGAGGGGTCACAGCAAGCCTTTCCAGGCACCATCAGCTCTGCCAGCTGCCTGGTCGGGGGGTGCCTCTGGGCAACCCCACTCCCCTAACACTCTCTCAGAGTCCTTAAAACATTCCAGTGTCCATGATCACATTCTTTGGGGTTAACTAGGAGCCCATACTGCCAGCTTACCAGAGAAGAACTGGAGGCATAAAAGACAACATGCCACCAGGCCACTGGCCATCACAGTGCCACCCTGCACAGCAGCAGGGGGCAGATGGCCCCAGGCAGAAGGTGTTCTGTAGTCCGGTGTCACACCTCCCACAGGAGCACTCACAGAACGCCCAGCCTCCAGGAGTCAGAAACAGGCACAAACCATGGCAATGAGGACGATGGCCACAGCCGCACCACCACACGTCAGCAACGTCACAAGTATGTGCTGCTCCAGTTTTTAACGAGGTACCAAAAATACAGGTATCTCACATTGACTGGGCACTGAGACTCCTTGAGCCTCAGTTTCCTCATCTGCAAACTGAGGATCATGAAGCCAATGTTGCAAAGTTGTCAGAATTAAATGTCCTTATCTCCTGATGGTGGACAGTGCGGCTATTGCCCCAGTTCATCAGTCTGCTTGTAACTGTACACAGGACATTTCCATCTTCACAGTCGGCAGATAAATTAGGTCTTCTTACACATATCTTTGAGATAATAAAATGAGACTGAGACCAAAACCTGGTTCTGTGTAGCTCTGAAGGTCCAGTGTGCACCACAAACCAATGCATGGAAGGGCCAAAGACAAGCGGAACCTGGAGCCCCCAATCTGTGGTTATGGCCTCACACCAGGCTGCCCCAGGCACAGTGACCAGCCAAATGCCCTGGATTCCTACAGGTGCACTCTCTTTTCCCTTGGGCAAATCAGGGAGAGCCCGCCTTCTTCCTAAATATTAGACTGAGAACACCCCCAGATCTCCCCAAAAGAATGAGGAATCTTAGTTTGATGGTGAATTTCCCACTTAACAAGAACTCTGGCCTCGTGCACACAGAGTCCTTGCCTTCTATAGGCCATCATGTCCACCTCTGCACCACTCACTCACACCATGAGTGGAAATGGACTGGAAGAGAATGGGACCTCACAGTGCTGTGAGCCTCGCTGATACAGAATTACACTGCGGGAGGCAGCAGGCTCTGCTCCAGAAGGCAAAGCCTTCCATTTGCCAAGATGAGACCAGTCCATATTTTCCCTCACAGGGTGGGAAATCTGGCCAATCTACCACCACCTTCTCAAGGTGCCATCCCCTGTAAGAAACAATGAATGTAATACACTAGCATGAAAAGAACACGTACATTTTCAACTGCCTGGAACTAACCTGCTCCATTAAACACACGATAATAAGGCAGCAGCTCAAACTCCAACCTTTTCATCCAACAGACTCAAATCTTCTAACCACTGAACGTGAACTGCTCCCAACACAATCCCTGAGCTGGGAGCCTCTCAACGGCCCTTCTCATCCTTGGCAAACAATGGCTGATGAAACCTAATAGAGGCTCACCACCTGCAATTGCACTTCACACCACCACGGGCACCACTAGACTGGCCTGGTAAATTTGCCCCCCAACTTTTCTGCTCTCTCCAACCTCACACAAAACATGAATGCAAGTTCCCACTCTGCTAGCTACAAGCAGTGTGATTCTGGATGAATGGCTTCCCATCTCTCATCGGCTTTCTTAGTTGTAAAATAAAGTGGGAGCAAGTACCATAGGCGTCTCCTCTGCGTAAGTGCAGGGCACAGTGCTGGGTCGGCCTGAAGGGCAGCACCCAGGAAGAGCACTTCTCTTCCTCCTGGGTATTTCTGGGGAACAGCCAGCCTCCGCAGGACCAGGACACCGGACAGGTGTGAGAACCCCTTCTCCAGGTCGCCACTGCCCGGGTTTCACGGGGCGCTGGCCATTTCGAGCTGTTCCTTCTGAGAAGCCTTGAGGCCCCAGCACCAGACGCTGAGAAAAGCCAGGGTCGGACCCCCACACCGCCTGCCGCGGCGCCTCCCTCCAAATCCAGCGGCAGCGCCCACCCGGACCCCATTGAGAGCGCCCGGGACCCCGGCCGCGGCGCCCACCGGTCCCCCCAAGGGCTGCCCCGGGACCCTCGGCCGCGGCGCCCACCTGGACCCCCCAGGCTACCCAGGGACCCTCGACCACAGCGCCTACCCCGGACTCCCCAGAGCCTCTCCCCCCGGACCGCGGCCGCAACACCCGCCCACCTTGCCGCTCCTGTCGCTGGCCTCTGCCGCTCGGATCTCCCTCCTCTCCTTCACGCCCGCTTATCGCGAGACGTACGGCTGCGCTCTCGCGAGACCTGGGACGGTCCGGCCGTAAGGCTCCGAGTCCGCGGGCCACCCAGTCCGGTGATCCCGTGTCTGGAGCCGCCCTCCCCTGAGAGACGCCACTCGGAGAGGATTAGGCCCCAGGAGCGGGCCGGCTGCACAGTCGAGGCGACCCAGACCCCGCGGTCCGGGTTTCCATTAGGGAGGTGGTCTCGCCCCGTATTGTGTGCAATAGCAGCGCCAACGGTGGCTCTTCAAGCCGAACTTGACCACACGCTTGTCAACGCCCCCAATGTCGCCACAGTATTTACGTTAATAACAAAGTGACTTCCCCCTGGGAGAAGCAAACTACCTTCCTGCTCGGCTGGCCTCCCGGGGTCTGTGAGCGGTCGGGGGACCCCTGCAGAGGAAAGGCGCCTCCAAGCCCGCGCGCCCGGGCATGGGGAGGGAGGCTGGAGGACGGGATGGCGGCGGGAGCAGGGCCCCTCCCGGGCGACCGCAGCCAGAGACAACAGGGGAAACCGCACTCCCGTCCGGAGCTTCACCAAGGCCTCGGGGCGCTGGACTAAGTGGACCCTGGTGGAGGTTCCCAAGAATCGGTAGTTTATATAAACTGTTTTTGAGGGAGGAAATGGCTTTAAAGGAACCAATTTATTAAAAAACAAAAGCATGGAAATCCCTTAAATAATGTAATTTACATTTTTTTATAAGGCTGCATCAAATTCCTGGGAGGAGAGTAAAAGGAAATAAATGAATACACCACACCGCTGCTTGCTGGCAATTAGCTTTACAGCCCGGGGCCTGGAGTATTAAAGCAACACACATTTCCAGCAAAAGTACAAGCACACCCACCTCCTGCATAATTCACACCCACTGTCTTCCCTGATTGCTCTGGGAACTCTTCGCTGCTTGAGGAATGGATTTATTTCCAGATCATTCAACAAAGAGATGGAAATTAATCCTCAGATTGAAATTAGATTTTTCTGTGTTACACTGTATAGGCTAAATAAGTGGAAACCTGTGTGCTGTGTTCTGGGGCAAAGGTGGGAGCCAGTTCCTCTGTAACAGGCTCCCATTACATAAAGCTGTGTCCACCTGCTTTTCCTATTCATTTTTCTCCTGCCCTCTCTCTTCCTCACAGTAACTTCATCTTCACAAATGATACAGAGACTGGGTTTTATCATATATCGTGGCCACTGAATACAGCTTTCTCATGTCTCTGGTTTCCAAAAAAAGGTCCCTCGTTGTTAAGCTTGCTGCCTCCCAGACCAAGCTGGGACCTCTGCAGCCACGCCCAGGAAGGACCTCCAGCTCTACGTGGAAAGGGACCTGAAATGGCAGAAACAACTCAGTCCTTCCCAGAACCCTGTGCTCTTTGGTATTGCATGGCCAAGAGGTACACCTCTGAGGATTCTTTCCTGCTGGCCTCAGGCTTCACCGTCCTCACGCACTGGAATTCCCCTGCCAGCCTCTCCTGAAAGTGACGGCTCTGACTGCCAGCCCACATTTTACAGAGTAATGTTCCACCAGGGCGCAGGACGTCCGCAGCCATATCCAGAAGCGACAAACACAGGCTGATGAGCCTGTCGTGATCAAGGCCCCGGATCCCTGAGGCGTTGGGTGCCATGTCGCTCAGAATGACATCTGCTCTCCCGCCAGGAAGCAGCTCTCGGACTCTCTGGAAGGTTCGCGGGTCAGTGATATCAGCAGGACACAGAAACGTTGCTCCTTCCAGGGGAAATATGTGCAGAAGATCTACCCCAAGCACAAAGCCAACAGAAGCACTGGGATCTAAGGAGGAAGTGGTGAGTGCATTATTTATTTGGACCATGAATCTTCCCACAAAAACACAGGCAACAAAATAATAAAAAGAAAGAAAAACTCAGGACCAAGGGAAAGAGCTAATGTGCAACTATACGGACAGAGGTCTTTCCCCACTGTCTATGCAGCCTCTACAACATACAGTGGGCAGTGATTGTCCTTCACCTACATCTGCAGAAACTGAGGCCCAGAAAGCAAAAGTGACTGTCCCAGAGTAAAAGGTAGACCTGGGGCCGCACCCCACAATTGACTCCAACTCTAATTTCACTCCACTTCCCAAGGGTTGCTTTCTGTTAAAGGGTTATCTCTGAGTGGTCTTTTTAGTAAACTAGAATAGAAAATGACACAATACATATAAAGGGGCTTTGGATGAAAACAAATCCTTTCCACAGTTTAATCCAATTTCTTTGCATGTAGAAAGAAGCTGAGAGATGGGGAAACCGGACTAAGGCAAAATAAGGTATGAAAATTGACACCTTGTCCATATTGGGTGACACCAGTTGTGAAATAAAAAGATGCCACTGTTTCACCTTACCCTGAAAATGAGGCATCTTGCTGCCCCCGGCTCCTGTTCCCCAACCCCAGGCTGTAACCACATTTACAGCTCCCACTCCCCCCACTGCGGAGAGCCTTTGCTTCACGGGTACACACCAGCATTGGTAAGTTGAAGGAACAATTGCAGATTTACTGGTTCACTCTGCTTAGTAAACAGGCCATCAGGGTGGGAGGGAAGCAGTTCTAGCTAAAGATTGTAAGTCTAGATATTTTGCAAAGTACCTAATTTTTCAAAAGCAAAACTATTTTCAGCTCTGGGAAGTAGGACATCTCACACCTCACTTTATACACTTGCCTTGAACATCCCATTTACTGTGTACCCTCAGGAAGGGCCCACTAAAGGCAAATGGCTTTGTGTGCAGTTTTGCAACTTCTGGGAAGAAAGGAAACCAAATCATTTTATCCACACACTCTCCTTCTGCCACTTCATCCTACAAGTTAACTTGGCTATATTAAACAGAAACCACTAAAGTCAGTTGTTAGGAGGTCTGTGGATAGGCTCACTGGTGGGAAAAGATAAACAAGCTTCTGACACAAATGCATTTACTTAGTCAATAAATACTTATTGAGCTAAAAAGAAATTTTGAAAGCTATTCTAGAGCCCTGAATGATCCCATCCTTAGTGATGAAGCTGATGGAACAACCTGGGAGCAGCATTCCCAGGGGACTAAACTCTGAACCTCAACTTCCTCATTAGGAAAATGGGAACAGGTACCTCAGTGAACTGCCACATATGTCATATAATGCCAGCACATGCATCAGACCCAGGCTTTCCAGCAGGAGACACAAGGGTAAGCGTGTTCATCACAGTATCATGCACACTAGCTTAACACCTGAGAGCAACCGGATGCCCAAGAGGAGACTGCCTAAACCAGCAGTATAACCAGCCTCTGTAATACTACACAACCGTCCAAAGGATAACATTGTTTTCTAAATCATGCAGCTGGATGGTTTGTTAACCACAGAATTCTTTTTTATATAGGAAATTTTTGACAAAACCCTCAAATATGAAACAGATAAAAGCTGAGTCCCCCAGGTTGAGCCAGAGCAGAGAATCCAGAACCCTGGCCAGGAGGCAGGCCCAGTGGAACCTGGAACCCCCTGAGGTTAAGTCAGTTGTACTGTCATGGAAAGAAGTCAACATAACATGCAGGGATAAAAGTAGCTCCATTAAGGTTCCAAATTAGCAAGAAGAGTGTGTCTAACACCATTTTTTAAAAAGAAAATGTACAGTTACATACGCAAAACCGAATTCTAGAAGGATGCACACCGACATGTTGATACACACTTTAATGTGGTGTGATATGCAGTGATTTTAATCAGTACACCTGTCTACCTTGCCTTTCATTCTGAAAACGTCAGTGTCTATGTTCATCATTACTACTAAACAACCAGCTCAGGGGTATGTGACTCTGGAAAGTGCCCCACTGGCACTCCATGTCCTCTGGCAGAGGGCACTAGCTGCCTCAGTCACAGACTCCTGAGGTCAGAGGCCCTCAGAGCAGCGTGGAGGCCCCACCTGTGCCTGCAGCGTTGACTTTCCGCACTGCCACCTGGCTCCACGCCCCCGGTGCTGCCCCACAGTCTAACACCCGGAAGCCAGGCTGCAGGATCCGGTGCTTCTCGTTCACCTCCAGAAGCTTGAAGGCACTTCGACACCGGTAACTCTCCACCTTCGCAGCCTTCACAAACGGGTCCTTCAAGTGCCGCGTCAGCCACAGGTGCTCCACACCAGTCCGACCCTTGAAGGTACTCCCAGCAGTGTGGAACCCCTGGCGCTGGAGGGACGCTCGCACCAGCTTCAAGGACCTGTTGAGAGAGAGGCAGCAAGCAGGCATCACACAGATGGGCAGGTCGCCAGTGTGAGGGACTCTTGGCTCAACCCACACATTGTGGGCAATGGAGCACGGAGGCCCAAGACAAGGGGAGGCATGACCATACTACACAGCCAGGAAGAGGGTATGGTGGCTGAACTGTGGCCCCCCAGAAACTCCTATGTTGAAGTCCTAACTCCCAGGACCTTGAAATGTAACTAGTCTTTAAAGAGGCAATTAAAATAAAGTCATGGGGAAAGGGCCCTAACCCAGTCTGACTGGTGTCCTCACGAGAGGAAATCAGGACACACAGAGGGATGGCCACGTGAGGACACAGGAGAACACGGTAACTGCCAGTCAAGGAGAGTGGCCACAGAAGGAACCAGCCCTGTGACACCCTGATGTCCAGCTCGCGGACTGAGAGCAACAGCTTCTGCTGTTTGGGCTGCCCATCCTAGGTGCTCTGTTATGGACTGAGCAAGCTCACCCAGCAGGCATCTACCCTTCAGTCAAGGGGCTTTCTCTCATGAAGTTTTGTTCAGAAGGAAAGCTCAGACAGCAACAATAGTCACCTCATTTGTGTCAACAAAAATGTTCCCATCCTGGGTGGTGGTACTGATAAAATTAAGGAAGGTAATATTCTTTCTCTTCTAGTACAAAATCTGGGCTCTGAGACTGCTGGAACACCTGAGGAGCACAAGCCCCACCTTAGTCCCACCACTTCAGCAGCTGGCACCAGGCCTGACCTGCCACATTTCTTAATAAAACTGAACTCAACCTGCATGAACAGTTGAAGGGCAATTTCCAAGTCTCTTTGGCAAAGTTAGGTTTTGAACAGTTTGTCGACTGCCACACCTCCCCTCATTTAACTCTCAAAAGAACCATACGAAGTAGTCCAAATCCATTTCTTTTTTATGAAGAGCTATTATTATCCCCACGGCTCTAGGCCAAAACCCCTTCAACACCACCACACCAAAGCACGATTATAAGATTTGTTGGAGACAGTAACTCCAGAATCATTACCTTCAAAAGACAAAAGGGGTCTCATGGGAAGAGGGCACAGTGGTCCAGGGAGCCAGAACTAATTCCAGGGATGGGGGAAGGAGTGGAGAGCAGAGAAGCACGCCCCCAAGCCGCCTGATTTGGGCAGCTGACCTCCAGCGCCACCTCGCGTCCTGGATTCAGTCACACCGGCCTCACCTTTCTCGCAAGTCGGATGCCACAGCCTTCAGGCCAGCGGTGCTCTTCCTAAGTTCCACCTCACCTGCAGGCCGCCTCGCCGCCCCCTTTTCTCCACCTGCTACCTCGCCCGCCCCCCCACCTGCAGTGCCACCTCGCAAGCCCATCCTCTCCACCTTCAAGTCACCTCGCCGCCCCCTCCTCTCCACCTGCAGGTCACCTCGCCGCCCCCTCCTCTCCACCTGCAGGTCACCTCGCCCACCCCCTCCTCTCCACCTGCAGGTCACCTAGCCCGCCCCCCCACCTTGCAAGCCCATCATCGCCACCTGCAGGCCGCCTTGCCGACCCCTGCTCTCCACCTGCAGGTGAGCTCGCCCGCCCCCCGACCTGCAGCGCCGCCTCGCAGGCCCCTCCTCTCCCCCTGAAGGCCGCCTCGCCGCCCCCTCCTCTCCACCTGCAGGTGACCTCGCCCGCCCCACCACCCAAAGTCCCCTGCAGCTCTCAGCCCGCTCGTCGCTCCTCCGCCAACGGCTCGCCTCCCGTCTGAAGTGTCCAGAGTCCCCTAGTCGCCATGCCCGAGCAGGACACCCGGCCAGGCCGGAAGTGGATTCGGCGCCCCTGTTCCGACGAGGAAACCGGGCGCGAGCCCCAGGCGACCCCAGTCCCCCGACCGCACGCACGCAGCACTCCATGCACGCCCTCACAGCCGACTCACCGCGCCATGGCCGCCGGAAGTGCGACCGACTTCCGGCCCGCGGACACGCCCCCGGCGGCGGCGCGCGGTGGGACGGCGAGCGCCGCGGCCGGGGCGCCACGTGGGCCGGGGACACCGAGGAGCCGAGCCCAGGAGAGCGAGGCACCAGGTGAGCTTGCGGAACCGGCAAGCGCGGGAGCGAGTTCGGGACCAGGGGAGCAGAGGCCGCAGAGGAGCGAGGAGGTGGATCAGGCGCAGGGGTCGTGGGGCCTGGGACACCGGGACCCTGTGAAGGACAGACAGGACAGGGAACCTTCATTTACCGAGTAGCCAGGTGTGCAAGACTCAGCCTGGTGCCCTGTGCATATTGTGTCTTTCGACCCTGATTAAGGGGCTTCAGTTTACAGATGACTGGACTCAGAGGCCACATGGCTAACAGGTGGGCCGCCCAGCCCTGATGCCAGCCTCCCCGGTCCCTGCCATTAGCTAGGCTCTCTGAGGACCTGACCAGGTGTAGTACAAGCCTCTCGTTTCTGGACCTGGGGCCACCTAGACATCAACAGCCAGTAGACCCAGCTCTGGGCCCTGGCTCTGCTGTTTGATCTCAGGTCAGTCTTCACCTCTCTGAGCTTCATTTCAGCCTCTGAATATGGGGAAAGCAGGTCTTTGTGCACAGTTGTTGGGTCTGTGAAGTGGGGTGGATTTTGTAAAGAAGTCTGAATAAGTGAGTACCTATGTACCTCGTATCCACCTCTCTCTCGCCGTCACAGTTTACTTGGGAAGCCAGGGCCATGGGCATAAACTGTTTGGTGTCAGGACAAAGTATGCAGGCCTAAAGGGCTTGACCCCCAGAGCCCGCCCCTTCCGCCTGACCTACCCCACCGCCAGGACCCCGCCACAGGTCCCGTTTATCAGAAACCGTAACTAAAATAAAGCATGGGGTCCCAGGCCCTCCACCCTGCATCTCCTCAGGTGTGGTCCCTGGAGCAGGAGACGTGTTCGGTGACCCCAGGCTGGGGTAGGGACGAGCGGGCACGGCACCTGGCCCTGGTCCTCCACCATCTCTCCAGCAGCAGCCCAGACATCATCCAGGCCAGGCAGAGTCTTTCTCTGGACTACACACCATTTTTCTTTCTCTGGATCATTCAAGGAGGAGGCCCCTTGTGGTTCTAGTGCCCTCCCCAAGTGCCAGGTCCCAGAGCAACAATAGCTGTGGGCAAAATATGAACTGTGACAAGAGGGAGGGCCCAGGAACCGTGCATTTCCTGGGACTCTGGAGGTCTGCTACTGCAGAGAGGCAGATGCCAGACCCCAGTAGGCCAGTCCCTCATTCATGAAAGACCAAGGGCAAGATCTGACCCAAGGACTGATGTATGAACTGCATGGTTTCCTTGGAGCCAGCTGGGCACAGGCTGACAGAGAAGCAAGAACAGCCCTGTGCCAAGGAAGGAAGGGGAAGATAGAGCCATCTCCTGACCTGCTGGCCAGCAAAGGGCCAGGGCCAGGGCATTGAGGCCACTGCGTCTGAGAGTCAGGCCTCTGTTATGGTAGATGATCATTTGTTCACAGACAGGCTTCCCCTCCCTGCTTTTCAGAGCATGTTTCTGACTTCCCTGCCCCCAGCCATCGCAACACGCCTATTCCATCCACGTCCTGCTCCCACCCAAACTGACCCAGCCCTCTTCTTTCCTCAAGGGGCCCCCAGGGACCATGGGCACCTCCAAGCTCTACACCCTGGTGCTAGTCCTTCAGCCTCAGCGAGTTCTCCTCGGCATGAAGAAACGAGGCTTCGGGGCCGGCCGGTGGAATGGCTTCGGGGGCAAAGTTGAGGACGGAGAGACCATCGAGGAGGGGGCCAAGAGGTGAGGGAGGTGGGCCTGAGCACAGAACCAGCTGCAGAGCCTGACCCGATTTCCCCACTTAGAGCTTGGGGCCTGGGGTGTGTACTGGGTCTGAGCCTGCAAAATGGGAATCTTAAAAGTCACAGTTCCTCTTAGGGTTGTCAGGAAGATCGAGGACATGACATGAGGACTTGGAAGAGTAGTCAGTGCTGAGGACAGGAGCTGTAGTCGGGGGCGGGAGCAGTTAGGATGCATTTGGGGAGTGTGTGTGGCTTGAGAAGTCCTGGTTTCCTCTCCAGTGAGGGGTGTGCCCAGCCCCTTGGCTCTTGTGCAGGGGAGCTGATGAGTGTTTTGACTGGATGCCTTTGCACGGTGTCAGGTAATCCTCAGCACAATCACAGCCTCCCATGGGAAGGAACCAAGGCCCCGAAGGTCAAGCAGCTTTGCTGAGATACCTCACCCCCCAGACATCATCCTGTGCCTTCCTCTCTCCTCACAGGCATGTGTGAAGGAGACTGGGGGTCAACATCGCAAAGCGCTGCACAAACTGTAGCTCCTGTTAATGTCATTCTGGGAGCGTTGGCAGCCATCAGGCCACCTTCCCCAGAGAAGAGAACAGCTCCCCAAATGCACACTAATGAGGTTTCTGAAAGGCAGGAAAGATGGCAACGTTGCAGCCCAGTGGCTTTCAAGTTTGGGTTTTTTTTTTAAAGTCAGAAGTCACAGTAAAAAATGTTTATACTCTGATAACAGCAAAACTCTTCCTATGTGAAAGTATTCCAGTGTAGTCCCCATGCTTTATTTGAATCACCAGTCACAGTCCACTAAGCGACTTCACAGTGCACAGCAGGCCATGGCCCACAGTTTGAAAGCCCTGCATGGTGTTCCCACCGTGCACCTCAACTCCTCGGCCTGGAACCCAGGGTTGCAGCCACCGATGCCCTTAATCATTTGTTTTTGCAAGTACTGGGACACAGCTGGGAGAAGCCCAGTCTTAGCCCTGTGAGCCATGCCTGGGTTGGGACGGGCTGCAGGAGAAACAGAGTGGAGAATGGACAGCAATGGGGGCCCTGGTGGTCACTTTTCCAACCGAAAACGTGTCCTTCCAAGACTGGTCCTTGGGTCATTGGTTTATGTAATGCCCACCACCACTGCTCAGTGTGAGACACAGAGGAGCAGGTCCCAGCCACTGCCCCTAGTTGCTGCTGGGCCCTGGGGGTGTGCAGAGAGCAGGTCTAGTGGACACCTAGTGGTCCGGGGCATCTGGAGTAGAGGGACGGCAGGTAAGGGCGCAGAACTCCCAAAGGGCCTGCTATTTGGTCCCAGCAACTGGAAGGTGGAGGGGCACCATGCCCCAAAGCACCGGGGGCTAAGGAGACCCCTTGGGAGGGGCCCCAGATGGCTTCACCTCGGCCCCTTGCCATGCTTGTGACAAGCAAACCCTCAGGGCCCCTGAGGCAGCCCTGGGTTATGAACTTTCCCTCCTGTCCTCCCAACAGTGTTCATGCCCAGAATGGGAAACGGACAGAAGGACCCTCAGTACAGAGTACTGAGCGGGCTTGAGGTTAGGTAGGAACCCTCTTTCCACACAAGCATGTGGTTTCTGTCCCTGAATGTAACTTGAATGTATCTGGGTGTCACCCTCTGCTGCAGCATCCAGACCATCCCCTCTCACCTAGACAGGTGCAGGAGCCTCCTACCTAGGCCCCCCACTCCACAGTTCATTCTCTAAGTGACTGCCAGGTGACCCTTCTGGTTAAGGCTAGGTTGGGGTCAAGCTCTGGGGCTGGGTCCAGGTCTGGAGGTCTGGGTTGGAGTCTGGGGGTGTAGGTCTGGGTCCGAGTCTCTCCGACTCATGCATTAAGTGCCTCTTATCAGCTCCCAGTGCACTAAACGACCTGTCACTCACTGAGCCCCCAAGTGCAGCGCCCGGCTGCCCCTCATGTTGGCTCCCATCCCCCTCCTCCCGGCTCCCCATGTTGGGCCCCTCCAGGCCTGCCATTTAGGAAAGCTAAGTGGCCTACGCCCCTGTGCAGATCACACTGTGCACTGAACGACTTTCTTCTGTCTGTGTTCCCCCATAAGCACGCTCTGAGACCACGACTGGGGGCTTTTCTCAGTTTGTTTTGAAGTCAACGTGCCCAAATCATCAGGGAGTTTTTAAGAAATAGGTTGGTCATTTAGCCTGCACGCAGATCAAGAAACAGAAATGGAGCCAGATGCTGCCCTCTGGTGGGCAGCCTCACTGGGCCGCCGGCACCACTGGAGAGCCAGTCGCCCGTCCAGGGTGG